AATAGTTCAGGTTCAAAAGCAACCAGAGTCTTATCTGAATGTCGGGTAAAAACCTTTATGTGAGATGTGTTTATAGTCTTAGAAAATTATCTGTATGTCTTTACAGACTGGTATGCATTGCTGGAATATCTTACCAATTTAAATGTATGCTTTGCTGCCTGAAATCATATTTTAATAGAAGCCCACTTGGAATAAAAAGTATCAGTCCAATTTAATGCACATCAGAAATTTGACAGGCTAAATACAGACATGGCCCAAATCTCAGGCCATGTCAAGACTATTAGTAACTTTCAGCAGGGCCCCTTTTATACTATGATGCACATGCCTTATTTCTTCTAACGTCTTATGTTAACTTTTAAAAGCCTGACTCAAGTCATAGCCAAATGAGATAGTCAGTCTCTCTGAAAGCACAATTGGTTTCAACAGAGCCCCATAAACGTATCAATACAAATACAAAAAACGGAACCTATTTATCTATATGTAAGCCTACATTTTGATGGGTGTCGCCAAAGTTTTACATGTAGGATGGAACAAATAAAATAGTGTACAAAATGCCAGGTCAAACATGTTTGAGGACAGCAAATGGACAAATGGGGAAGTGAAACCAGCAGCTGACAAAATTCTGAAAAAAGTCCCCATGGCCATTGCCAGACAACAGTGACTAATGCTTTAAGACCTGACAGAACTGCTGGTGGTGACCTAAATGAGTGTGGCCCAGAACATAGCACCCACTTTTAGCACAGATAATATGAGACTAGATCATAGCTACTAAACACAATCGCCACAGGTAGACTAGTACATGGTCCGCCTACCAACAAAGAAAAATATCTAAATGGAGGTCCCCTTTTTGGGTTGTTTCAACATGAAGCACAATTCACAACTTGTAAGGCAATGGAGTTAAAGTTAGTTTATTTGTTAACTTTTTATTTAATGTAAATCATTCATGGTTCCCTTGTGGCATTTGTGTGTATTTCCAAGGTGTGTATGAATGTGTGTGTGGATGGTTACTCAGGTTGTGCAGTGTAAACAGTGGAAGCACCTGTGTAAATGACACAGAGGGTTGTTGTGTTTAGCTTTGAGGCCATCAGGGAATAAGGCATGTTGTGCAAACTGTGTCACCTGGAGAGAGCAAGAAAAAGCCTCAGTTGACACAGTCACTGCGGACAGATCTACATTCAGAAATTACTCATGACAAATAGTACTTTACACAAAGAAACAGTGCTTCACCACCCATCCCAAACCAGAAAACCCATCCACCTGTTCTGTGTAATTTGTGGACTATAGTTTTTTGTTCTCTTTAATCTGTTGGTTAAATCATGTCAGTTGGTGATGGAGGATGGAGAAACAGTTCTTTCCTACAGCCACACAACCAGCGTGCACGGCCAAAACTGACTTTATTTGTACAGTTAAAGATTCTAAATAAACACAGTGTTATTTGGAAATGTATGGCCATGATATCCACCGGTCATGACGCATAGAAAACTTTAGGAAGCCAAGACAGACTGTAATGATGCGATATGCATATTTTGTTAAATATCTGTCCCCAACTGTGCAATGACAATATTTTTTGAGAGGACATAGCCCACATTGAAAAATAAAGAGATGATTTGTTTATCTGCATACTGACATTTTGTACCCAACTTCAATAACTAAACAATATGATGACCACAACATGGACACTTTTCCCCTCCTTGTTGATATGACTGCAACAGTATAAAAGTGCAGTTTTACTCATTGGCCTTGAGACACATTATTGGCAATTCTGAATTAATAACATTTGTCAGTATCCAGATTTATTTATTCAATGTGATGCACTGGGAATATGTCCAGGGAGTATCATGATTTTCACTGTTCATCCTTTCAGAATGACTCCAGAGCAGTGGGACACCATCAAAGAAAATGAATGGATAGATGTTTTTGGGAACTGTGATGATAACACAAGGTTACTTTTTCAACCTCCTCCTCATTTCTGTACATAAACTGTAATTCTGGTGTGGTAAATGAAAGGGGTTCAAGTCATATTGTGCTTTTTTAGTGTAGTCAACATCGGAAATACTTTTACATGTCAAATTCACCCATTCACACACACAGCATCTCTCAATCTGTGCAGTGATTCAAGTTTAATGTTCTTCAATGTTTCTTTTTACCTCTATTTAGCAATGTGATTTCACTGTGTTTCTAAAAAAAAAAAGCAGTAGTTCCTCTTAACCAACAGTTTATTGGGAATTGATTCTCACTGGTTAATGACCACTCTTTCTCTTGATAGTTGCAACTGTGTGCATCTACCGGTGGGTGTATTTCTTCAGCCATTAAAACTTCAACCACATCCCAGGAAAACCTCTAGCATAGATGTAGCCATCATGAAATTTCCAGTTTGTGCATGTTTGCTGCACTTTTGGCCCACCACAAGAAAAATTAGTTAAAAACAACTTGTATAAGAAATTACAGACACACAGCTCCCTCCACAAAAATATTTCTTTGGAAGTATAGAGTGGTATTTTGACTGGTATGGCTTTACTTTATTGTCCCCCCACTGTGAAGTTATAACAAAGTAAGGCTACCTATGAGGTTGTCTTCTATTTAGAAAGCTATTGAGTCTCTAACTAAAAAGCATCAGTCCCCACTAAGCACCATTCTACAGCTATGAGGAAGTAGAGCCAAAATAGCCACAATTAAAGAATCAAATGTATAGGAAGCAAAGTTCAGTAAACACTGCAAAATAGGAGCAAGTAGCAGTTGATTTTATGTTTTTATCTTTGTTGAGCAACTGTAAATTAACTGTGAGCTTATGCTAAACTATGGCCAAGCTACACACCACTAAGGAGATAAATGGTTAGGACAAGGACAGAATGTTAACTGTTAACTGTTTACATATAAATGCAACAAGCAGAGGATATGCCTCTAACAAAGTTGTTTGTAACCCTTATCAACCTAGAATACTTGAACACATCAGGAGAAAGACATTGAACTGCTCACCGAGGTGGCACAGCAGAACTAATCTGCATACACTTGTGAAATATGTGGCTGTACGAGCTTGTTCACAACCTGCATATGTGTGTGTATGCTTAATGACAGGTCTAAAAACGCCTTAAAAGCTGATCTAACATTATTTGGTTACAATAAAGCTCCAGCTTAATGTCCTGTTCTGTATTACTGTCTAACAATTTGTCAGCAGGGCTTTAACAATCCTTATTAAAAGGAGATTTTAAGTACAGAGACAGCAAGAGAAGTCTGTATTTCTCTATGACCAAGACTAATGTCCTAGTGAACTGCTTCTAGGATTTCTAAAAAGGCTAATCAACACCTCCATCCCATTGCAAAAAAATCTATGTAAAATATTAAATTAAAACTCTGTCAAACTTTATTTATGGACATAACTTGTCAAATAAAAGCAGGGTATCAGTGTATCATCAAAGATTTATATAAATGTATTCTTTGAAATAGTCTCTGAACCACTGTGGCACACATTCCAGGGCATAACAGTCCCTTCTCTTGGCAACAGAAAACAGAGAGACGATTATAGAGGGAAGAGAAAAATACTCATTTAAACCTATTGCCTGATAGTGCTCAAACAAATAATGTTTACAGAAAGTTTGTGACATTCAACCTCAACAAAGATGTTTTAAAGTGGGTGTAGTGTGCTAGTCTGTGACCTCATTCACCCATTTTGTTCTTCAGGAAAAACAAACTAGAGTCAGATTTGCCATGGCAATATGCTTATAAGAATCAAACAAACAAACAAACAAAAAATGAAGATTAGTTGAGTGAATGCTATGTTGTGTGGCACCAGGCTGTCTGCACCATGGGGCCGTTTAGTAGTGTCTGAGGGTAAGAGTGAAGCTGCAACTTGGCCTGGGGAGCAAAGGAATGTTGCCAGCACAATAACACACAGTTGGTGGAAAAAAGTAGCTAGGGCTATCCTGCTTCTCTTGTATGCAATCATAAAACTATACTCTAAAACTTCTTATTCATGTCTGAATATTGAGAATATTCATAAATGATATTGTTCATGAAGTCATATCAACAATATTGATTTATAATTAATTCGTTCTCTGAGAAGATACCTTACATTTTTAAACATAAGTTTGATTTTAAAAAATTGCACAACACGCAACAAAAGTATGATTTACTTGGAATCCCACTAAATTAGACCAAATGTAGCCAAACAGACCAGCTGGAAACTAAAAGAAGCGTGAGCGTCAACATTCTAGAATAATTTTACGTGACATGATTTTAAAAATCAATCGACCTGAATTGTGGCATGATATGTTGATTTCCATATCCAAAGAGAGCATAGCAGATTTTGCGTGGGGATGCACGAATAATAAAAAAGGTAAATGTCATTACCCGGACACTGTAACCTACACATTTATTAGTTTACCTATGGTCGTTCACTTGAAATTAGGATCTTATTAGCCTTAAAACGCAAATAGGCTAACATTTGTCTGTATCGACCGTTTTCAGAAACGTTAAAAAAGAATATTGTAAACTATCCTGGAAGAGAGATTACATACTTCTACTTCAGACTTTTGGCTTTACAACAGTGGTTTAATACGCATCTGAATGCTTTACATAGCTCCTCTCACCCTCATGCTTTTTTTCTCGCACAAACACACACCTCTCCAGCCGATAGGAATCCCACCGCAGCGCACACATATTGAGACACGCCTTTTTCTCCACTCCGTTGCGGGTCGGTGGTCAGCGGGCTGCCCGTGATTGACCAGCTTCTCTCCATGATCTGTCATCTGGTTGGTTTGGCGCCTCCCCTCTTCTCTATAAATGTACAAAATCTACTCAACGCTATCACACTGAGGGTTGCTGAAGTCGGAGGAACAGTGAGGCTTCCACGGGATGTGTTGACAGACTAGAATTCCGTCTGGCCGAGCTAATTCGCGTTGACCATAGCTTTCAGAGTCCTGGTACAGCCTAATAACTCATACTCTCATCAATTTTCTTGTTTATTTATTTTTTTCCTATTATTCCTGTTATCTTTGTGTGAGCTGTTGGTTAGCCTATCTAAGATGAAGGCTGTTACTCCAGTCCGCCCCCAGGACTCCTCCTCCAACAGCAGCCAGCTATCACTGCACTATCTGTCGAAACAGAGCTTCAACATCGCCCGGCACAGGATGGAAGAAGAGGACCTGTTCTGCTTGCAGTACGACATGAACGACTGCTACAGCCGGTTGAAACGCCTGGTTCCCACTATTCCGCAGGATAAGAAAGTCAGTAAAGTGGAGATCCTTCAGCATGTCATAGACTACATCCTGGACTTGCAGCTGGCTCTGGAGACGCACCCTTCTCTTAATAAACAACAGTCACAACGGACCGGGACCTGCCCTTCCCCCGTTTCCAATCCCAGTAGGACGCCACTGACGGTGCTCAACACCGACCACCAGGTAAGCTTTAAGATTCGTTGAGGAAGCCGCATACACTCCCGGTTTCCAGCGGGAGTTACTGGGGTACCCCGGTATACCTCCGTCCCTGTGCCATACTGCACTTAGACAAAGCGCGTCATGCCCGTTGTGTCATTGTCCTTTCAATGCAACAGAACATAGACAGAAAAAAAAATCAAAAAGCTACACACTTCTTATCACAGCCTTGAAAAACCATGCGTAAAAAAACGCATTTGCCGTGGGATAGATTGGACACTTGATTGCGGGCTTTCTGATTTGCATAAGAATGACAGTGTGTCAGAGGCCCACTTTATCCCGGGAATGTTGAAGTACCTCAGCCTGCAGTCCACTCCACTGCGCACAATAAGGGCAGTGTGTTATAATAATAGATATAAGATAATTTATTATAGGATATATCGATAGAGATATTTAAAACTCTACTCTTCATAACATAATATATTTTGCGGGATTAGGCCTAATTTTTCCATTTTCATAATTTATATATCTTATAAAAATACATTATTTGACATGCTTCTGCCTTCATTTTTTCAGAAGACATCAATAGTCAAAAAACCAGAGGACTCAATTTTATGCCGTTGAGACGAGCACTGCATTGGTAAGTTTACTGAAATCCTAATTACATTCAAGGTCTTAAATACATTTAACAGTTTTATTTTTTCTGCTTTTGTATATTTTAATTTTTTTGTTTCAATGTAAAATGTAGCAAGTCGAAATTCGCTTTACATGATGATTTAAAGTCACAGAAGAATCCCCATTACAAAGCTTACCGTAGTTTCTGTGTGGTGTAAATTGACAAACCATAGAATGCTCCACTAAGGCAAGTAAATGCCAGGTAAAATAGTAATTCAGGAACATGAATTTGGAACCAACCTCAGAGGCAGCTGTGCTTTGCGCAATAACTGTCATTCGTGCAGCAATTTGATAGGAGGAGAGGGTTAAAACCTCAGCTTGCCCTCTCTTTCATTCTTACACACACAAACTTGTTTCTCCTTTTTTCTTTTCTTCTGTGTGACACACTCTATTCAGGCTGCAGGGACAGCTTTAGAGCCAGTTTTATAGCACTGAGTCCAAACACACCTTAATAAGACTAAAAGTATGTGCCTGTTGTGTGTGACAGAGATGCTCTCCCAGTCTGTCTCCATGTCCTGGTGGCCTTTCCCAACTGCCTGAGGAACTCTGTGGTTGTTGTTTGACCTGGTTTGTTTTGGGTTGTTGATCAAGCATGGCCTCTGGTTTGTTAGTGGCGCCAGTCAGTCTGGAGCTCTGCAGCTCACCCCCACCTCTATTCATTCCCTCCACAGGTGTGCAGGCTGCACAGAGCTGCTCCAAAGCCAGCAAAGCTTCACCAGGGACTCACACCCAACTGGAGGCACAATCAGAACAGGATTACAAAACTGCTGGGAGGAATAAAACCCAAATTAAATCACTATCCATATAGACTTTTTTTATTTTGGGGGCTCCAGTGAACAAGGACTTAGTGTTTAGATATCCCTGTGTCTTTTCTCCCATTTTATTTGCTCTGAATTTACTGACTGACTTCTTGTCTTATATTTTCTTAAGGGTGAAAAATTAAACTTAATCACCACACGAAGAATTTATTTTGTTGGAGGCCCATCTGTCAGCAACTATGGAAACTGTTTGTGCTTGAAAGAGTAACTAAAAGTGACTCCAGTTTAAAGCTTTACTAAACTGCGAAAATCATTGTATATGTTTTGGACATCTATTGTTTAAAATAGATGATTTGTGTTGGACAGGGATGGCGTCCTTGGTATTTTAAAATGTTTGATATTGTAAACATGAACAATTCTGATTCGAGAAAATTAAGAATGTTAATATAGATAAACAAATGTTCTATAAAGGTATGTGAAAGGAAGACATATGCATAAATTAGATTATTGTAATTATGAAATATTTTTTATTAAAACTTTTTTGTCGTTATGTATATAATGTGTTTCCACTTTAGTGAATGAACATAGTTATGCTATGCCAATATTGTCTTCACATATCAGTTAATTCTTTGCAATGTTTTTGAAATAGTTTCAAAGGTAGCATGTCAGGCTCATTGCAGAGGTATAAACAAAAGCAGCCCTCTTTGTTTAGATAAGTGGTGAAATTCAACACAAGCTCTATGATTATTTACCCTCCACAGCCCTCTTTTAAAATTGTTGTAATTATTAACTTTAACCCATTCGGAAAGATTGGCTCATGTGTTTTTTTATATAAATGAAAAAAGTTGCTTCTGTTACACTATGCCCCCAAAAAATGTGATGTAGAAGCGTTTCCAATTCTGTGTTTGTGAGAACCCCGAAAATCTTTGCACCACATACACCACAGAATTTACTTATTTTTAAGAATGGTTGACACCTGAAAATCATAAAAATTGAATTAGGAATTGAGAAAATATGCTTACATTGACAAACCCCATATTAGAGAGGCAATATCTCTAGGTTGATATTAATATCTGTGTTGTGGTAGGCATTCTTATTGTAAAGGATAACAAAAAATCCTTTATTTTTCATGACATTCAACACCGAATTTACCTCACCACCCTCCTGCCAGTATGAGAGGGAACTTGTACATTACTGTCAGCTGCACCATTGGACTTGACCGTCACTGGCTTTTGAGGAGTTGTCAAAACAATTAAAGTTTCCAGGAAGAATTGTGTCGTCTTAAGTTTTGTCTGACAGGACATCTTTGTTTATTGCTTTTAATGCAAAGCTTTCAAGTAAGTGATGAAATGAAAGCGAGAGGTGCATTTTCACACCATGAAATACTTCCTTTTTGATTCAAGGAAAACAAAGGGAATATAAAGTTATTGTCACATTTCATTGGTTTTCTAATGTTAAGTCCGCAAACCTGCTTTACAGCATCCAGTGATCAAGTTTTTTGTTGTCTTAGCTTTTCCTTAATTCCATCACACACATTATGAGAGCCAGGACAAAGAAAAATATTCTCAAGTTATTTCTCCATGTGAAAATTCTGATTTTTTTACTATATTGTATTGGTTTGTCCTCTTACATAGGAAGTTGACATATTATTCATAGAATTATTTAAAGAAATATAGGACTTGGAAAATTCATACAGAATGAAAGAAACAATGGCAATGGCTAGTATGTACTCAGTTAAAAGAACAAATGCTGCAGTCATCTAATGAACAGCTCGAGCTCTTAGTGTAACAAAATAACATTTAAATACTGAGAAAAATTACAGGCCTATAATCACAATATTCATTTTAAGCACAAAGTAGTGGACATTTTACTTTCCAAATTAACATCTTCTTTGCCCACATTAATGAGGGAAAAATTTCCAATAAAGATGAGTTAAAGTAATATTAACACGACCAATAAATAAATAATATAATATAATAAAATAGAAAAAGGAAAGAAACATTTCTTAAGGTTCCCATTGTTGTTGCAAACTGTGGAATTGAATATCCAGCTTAAGTTAATTAAAAGAAATGTCAATGTCTCAACTACATTCAGCTGCACTTAATGAGAAAAGCGTTATGTTGAAAATGTTTTAAGATGTAAAAAAAAACATTCCAATTATTAAGCTGACTAGTTTAATGCTTTTCTAGGATTTGGAGAGGTGGACAAAAAAGAATGGAGTATATTGCATTATTTTCTTTTCTTTTAAAATTGTCTTTCGTGCTTTAGTTAGCTACAATGGAACTCCCATGTCTTCCTTTTATCCCACAAAGCCACCACTTTTTCCTTGTAGAGGCTGCACCATTGGACCTTGTCTTGGGTTTCCCCTACGCCAACATGTTAAATGCAGGATAAAAACAAAATCAGCCGTTTGACACATGTTGAGTTACTCAGACACGCTGTGGGCACGACACCTTTCAGACACCCCTTTATACTATGGCCCCCCTTAGCGGCGACCATGCAGGCCACCTGTGTGTGTGTGTTTATAGTCCATGGTAAGAAAACCTGGCCTTCAGCCTTCACGCCCTGCACAAGCACTGTCCTTGTGATATGAAATGAGTGTGTGTCTGTCTGTATGAGTGATACTTTTTTTTTTTATGAGGAAAACTGTGTTGAAGCACAGGTGGCCAGCTTGACAGTTAGACCTTCCTGATATGATTATAGATACTCTGGTTCTTACAGAGATCTGACAGGTTGAACCATGGCATGACTGCACAGTTGAAGAGAAAATCCCCTATATATATTTTTTTTCTTTACAAGTAATGGTTCATTTTATAGATAAATTCAGAGATACAGTACAGCTGAATCTAGTTTACATAATCACCCCAGCGGCAGCTAACCCTGCCTTCCAAGCCTTCAAAAAGAAGAGATATGGCCGCTGTCTTCTGTTACAACAACATAATCACCATGTCTAATTTTTTATTTTAGCAAACCATACAACTGCTGTCCGCAAATATATTATTCATCTGTTTTTTCTATGCTCCATTTTAGACATACATTGAATCACTGTTCCCTCTTTTTTTATACTTACTATCATTCCCTGCATCCCTCCAGGATTTGATTTCCAAGCGACCACTATATAGGGAATAAGAGAGCTGTGCAGCAGCATGACATTGTCACATGAAGACTTCAGATACTCAATCTTGTGTTACTTTCCAACAGGGGACTGGACAAGGGATGAAGAGTTTTCATACCTGCAACCTTTCCTCACTTTGTGTCTGTGTTTTCTGGTCCAAACGTGGAAAAGCATTACTTCCTGTTTGACAAGGATGCCCAGATCATATTGGTCAGCGTGTTTTCCACTCTTGAGTAGACATGCTGGCCCCATGAGCAATCATTCGGAAATGTCATTATGAACACAGTATGATTATTAACAAAAAAAGTGCCTGACCAGGCTGTAAGTGAGGGAACTTGTTTGCACAGGCATTTGCACTTTCATTTTGTGTACATGTTTCATTTGATTTTACCAGCAAGCTCCTTGCAAAAAATTTGCAATACATTTCTCAGTATTGTATCTCCCTCTTCAAGGAGAGTTTACTTCTACTGATTGTAACCAAGATAAAAAACAAAAAAGATTTTTTGTGGTGAGGCAACACCCAGCCCCTAATCTGACAAATCTGTACCATGCACCATGACACAAACACATAAAACAAGGATGCCTACTATCAACTCTGCATTGAATTAACCTTCTGCATATGTTAAACTGCAATAACGGGTTTAGCTGTGGCGTCTCGCCTGCTTCTTTCCCTGATTTACCTCCACACTACAGTGTTCCATGGGGGCCTATATCCCTGCGTGTTAATCACTGCTCTTCCTGGCTCACAGTGAAATATATAGCGGGTGCTTGCAGAGGAACAGTGGAGGACAAAAACGTGCTCGCTCTTGGACACTACTTGATTACAGACTAATTGGTCTAGAGTGATTAAATATCTCATGCTCCTCACTAATTGCAGCTATTTAAAGCTGCTATTAGCTTAAAATTTCTTCCACCAACAGTCATTTACTCATAAACAAAATGTGGGATTTAGCAATTCACCTGTATTTCTTAGACTAAACAGAGACAGGAGGCTTTATATCACCGCAAGAAAGAACATTGAAAATATCCAGGTTCACAGTTTTCACTGGGAAAATAAATACACAACTTTACATTGC